ACACAAATGTTTGTCTAGAGTAATTTGTGCTTATTAGTACGGTTGAACTGGATCATCGAAGGTCAGAAGCAAAGACATTGGTTAATAGAATGGGATTAAATACATAAAGGATATTTGTGTTGTTTAACATTTAATTATTGCAGGTTTGCGTCATATTCTGAGTTGCATTACTTTTATTCATTTTGAGGAATACTGAATCTGGGGGGGTTTTTTTAGCGAGATGAATTAATGCATATTCATATTTATTTTAGAACTACAGTAACATCTTCTGATTTCTCTCAGCATGGGGACAGCAGAGCTGCCAATCAATCAATTGGGGAAAAAAAGTAACTTGCGTTACTTATCTGAAAAAGTAACTCAGATATTCTCTTGTAGATTAAAAAGTAATGCGTTACTTTACTAGTTACTTGAAAAAAGTAATCTGATTACGTAACTTGTAATGTGTTACCCCCAACACTGGTTCTAAAGGAAAACCTCTTTGAGAATAAAGTGGCTTGTTATCCACAGAAAAAGCAGCGAACGTCTGCTATCAGGAGTATGACGTGCCTGAAGGGTTTCCTCTTGAGCTCCGTCAGTACCTGCCCAATGTAAACTACAGAGCTGACACTCAAAGGCAAGATGAGAGATTTCATATGCTCTTATTATTATTAGGACATTACTGACATTTGCTTATTTCATCTTTCCGTTTCTATTTCAGACCTTTGCGCTGTGTAGTTCTTGTGTCACTGAGAGATATTAATTGTGGTGAAGAGCTCTTCTCCAACTACTACACAATTGTGCATTAAATAGATTTGATAAAAAATAAAAAAAAACAGTTGGTGTTTGTATTATACATATAAAACTTGAAATAAATTATTTTCTGAAGCCGAGTGAGAAAATTGTGTCGGTTTCCAGCCTAACAGTTCGTTTTATTATTATTTCATTTGAGCAGTCAGTGAATAAGAAACATGAAGGAATTAGTCTTCGTGAGCGCCAGAGTCAGAAAGCAACCAGTGCTCAGGACAAAACAAATGTCTCTGAAAGTGATCAGAACTCAAATGCACATTAATTCATTGTTTTGTATCTGTTATTTAACATTTCATAGATTTAAAGGAATAGTTCACCAAAAAATGAAAATTATGGATTATGGACTTTTCGCTGAAAGTGAAGTAGTTCTGATGTTTTTTTGAAGGTTAAGGCAATACTGCAAACCGGGCTTCTGCCTTAACCGTGAGACATTCGAGTTCAGTAAATCCCTAAGATGTGATAATACTGTACATTCAGCTAGCCCTTCGTCTCCGGCGGAGAGGAGGACGCCGTATTTCACTCGTGTACAGAACGCTAACACACTTGCAGCGGAGTGAATAAATAAATAAATAAATAACTCTTCTTAAGCAAATCTCTTATGAGGAAAAGCGTCAAAAGAACGGTAAAGGAAGTCGAGAAGGCATTCTTGTGGCATACGCAGACTCAAAAGCAAGTCTTCAAGTTCAAGTCTGTTAGCAGAGGAAGAAAAAAAAGGGAAGGTATGTGGTATCTGTACATATTTACACATTATTGCCATACGAGAGCGTGTAAAATAAAACTCAGGAAAGCTGGAAAAAACAAGCAAACGAGGTCCGAAATGATCCGTTTCATCTGTAAGCGATACTTGATGCATAGATAAACGTCCGGTCAGTGCTTGCAGGCCTTCACTAAGGACTTGGAAAGCAAACAAACAGAAATCATTTACAACGTTGCATAATCGGTTACTGAAGGGAACAGACGGGTAAACCGGCGGGTCGGTTCTGTTCCCGCGGCGAGAAATCCCTGCAAAACAGGGGGGGGTTATAAATAGTGATCTCGAAATGTCGAAACAAATCGGAAAAAAACCCCCAAAAAACATGTGCCAGTCTTTCACAATCATTTCGGGAAACAAAAAAAACGACCATAATGCAGTCCAATTGTCTTCATTGCAATAAATACACCAAACGCCAACTGGTAAAGCAAGAGGAACACTAATAAATATGCGCAGAAATAGAAAAATCACACACGTCGTAATACCTCTATTGTATTTAGGGCCTATGTATTTGCTAGAACCACTTGCAATTGTTCGTAGGTTTGTTTTTGCAGTCCATCAAAACAGCAGAAAATCTCCCAGGGCTGAACTTTCCGGGTTCTTGTGCTCGAATGGTGCAAAACGAAACGAAGAAGTGGTCGTAAATGCCTTTCAGACGAAGGGTGAGCTGTAAACACTGATGGGAACCACAGAGGAGAGGCCGAGCTGACAGCCAGTCGTCATGATGGCTTAGAAAAACCCCTTGCTGTCGGCTGAAGTATGCGAGTTCAAGTTTTCCACAGTATTCGGACACGCTTATGACACTTCCAAAAATTCAAGACTGGAAAATAAATGGCTGTATTAACTCTTGAGAAATCAAGATTTAGGTCTGTACAATTAGACATCACTGATGTCATAGTAAAAAAAAAAAAATAAAGATCTAAAAAGAATCAATCTGTACATCTATATACACACACGTATATAATCAGGAAACCAAAAACAAATATGTGAAGGAATATGCGGCTATGTACACATTGGATTGCAGCTAGTCCCGTGAGAGTTGGCATGCGCGCTCGTGTTACTCCGACTGCAGCGCCGTGTGCTGATGTAGTGTGTGCGCGCCAATGTAGCTTCCCGCCTCGCTGAAGTCACTGACCGAAACCGCCATTTTGGCACTTGTGATGTGATGCGTGCGGCCCTCGAAATCTACGCCCATGTTCCTGTTGTCGTTTAAGAACGGCTCCGACAGGCCCATCTTCAGCCGCTTGGCCGGGGGCCGCTCGCAGTCCTCTCCGCACACGCTGATCTGCCCGAGGTCCGAGTGGTAGAAGCCGGTTTCCAGCAGGTTGAGGCAGTCTCCGTCTCCGCTGCTGGAGTAGTTAAGCGGCTCTTCGTGGCTCAGGGGCCCGCGGTGCAGCCCGTCCAACGAGGAGAAGTTGTAGGAGTCCAGACAGCTGACGTCTGCAGGGTTACACACCGACGCCACCGTGTTCGTCAGCGCTGGAGGAAGAGGAAAAGGTTAGACTCATCTGCTCACCAAGGCTGCACTTATTGGATCAAAAATACAGGAACTAATTTTAAATATTATTGCAATTTAAATAACTGTTGTCTATGTGAATAGAAAGTTCACAAGAACAGCATTTATTTTAAACAAAAAAACTTATGTATTAAATGTATCTACTGTCACTTTTAATTAGTTTAATGCATCCTTGCTCAAAAATAATTCTTACCAAAAAAACAAACAAAAAAAACACTTACTCACCCCAAATTATTGTGAGCTGATTTGGAAACTTTTTTCTTTTTTTACAATATTTAATCAAAAGACATTATAAACATTTAGAAGATATTTATTTTGGTTAAATATAATAAAAATGATAATATATATATATATATATATATATAAATATTTTTTTATAATAAACACATTTATAATTTTTTACAATAATCAAATGAAATTATAATTTATTTTGATTAAAAATAAAAAATTATAATAATTTATATTTAATATAATATGTAATAATGTGAGCCGATTCCTCTTTTTTTTTTTTTCAATATTTAGTCAGATATTGTTAGCAGGGCTCCAGACAAAAAAATAAAAAAAATCACTTGAGTCATTGGCTCCTACTAAGAAAAAAATTAGGCGGCAAATAATTTTTTAAGGGGTTCAAGCACGTAGTGCTGAAACCGTAATGTAATTGTAAGGATTTTATAAATTTTTTTATTATTCTCCGGTAAAACTGATCGTGCAGCCCAAACCGTAAGGCCTAGAGAGCTGAAACTTGGTCAGTTCGTAGTAGTATTGCTCGCTACTCCGATCCAAAGGCTCGCCCCAAAATTTCAGACATTTTTGGCCCTAGCTCGTGAACCGTTTGGAGTCCGGCAGATTTGCTCTACGTAGGGCTGTCGCAGTGAGGCAATTTCCCTTGCGGTAATTTTGAGTGGCTCAATAGTATGCGGTTATATATATATATACACACACACACACACATATACATATATATATATATATATATATATAATTCGTGTGTGTATGTGTTACGATATAACTAATGAGTCATATTCAGAAGACAATGAAACCGAAACCAAATAGCGTTGAAACAGGAAGTGAAGTAAACAGAAGAGAATGACAAAATAACGGTCCACTTAACAGAACATAAACCTGACAATTAGATTGTTAGGCTACCGTTAACCTATATGTATAACAGTTAGCCTAGTTGTAATCTGATTTTCTGATCTGACTGGACAAGAGACTTTCTATCGATATTTCCACCTTCGCGCGTTCTAGACGGCTGTCAGGCAGTGCAGTTACAGTGTTCTGCCACAAGGTGGAGGAAAGAGACTGTCATTCAACTACATGTTCAAAAACGCTGATTCATTCATTCAAAGAGACGTAATGAAACACGCTGTTGAAATCATTTTAACTTTGAGCGCCACTTTAGAAGGCTCAGCTGACCAGCTATGTGTCGATGCTAAGACAGAGATTTCACTTTCCTTGAACATAACCTATTTTCACAAATATATATGACTCGGCCTGGAGGACAGACGCATTCGCTCTCATTCACTGTCTGTTTAGACTTGTTAAGTGCAAATCTACGGAGCCTCTGCACAAATCAGCATGGTACACATTATGTTATCATTACTAACTTGTTTAATATTCAGTCCACATGCATGAAGTGTAAAACGAGAAGGGCATAACCTTACGAAAAAATAAAACACGGAAAAATCGTGGTTGCTGCAGTTCTTGCATTCCTCTGCGGTTTGCTCGTCAATAGCGCGGTATTGCGATATTGCGGTTATCGTGACTGCCCTAGCTCTACGAGGCATGGTTTTCCGCAAAATTGAGTTATGTCCGAAACCTACTTTTGCGAACTAGTCCTAGGTTTTTCGCTCGATTGGAACCAAATCACTGCAGAAATATTCTCTTGACACTGAATATCAATAATTATAAAAAAAAAGTAGAAATTTAGATTTTCGCGCCGCAACAGTACGCAAAAAACTTTCTATGCTAATGTTAGCCAATAGCTAGTTGTAGCTATAACTCTTGAACAGAATATCGTCACCAAATTCGGTACACGTGTATGAGCTCAATCTTTGACTAGTCCTAGGTTTTTCGCTCGATCGGAACCAAATCACTGCAGAAATATTCTCTTGACACTGAATATCAATAATTATAAAAAAAAAAGTAGAAATTTAGATTTTCGCGCCGCAACAGTACGCAAAAAACTTTCTATGCTAATGTTAGCCAATAGCTAGTTGTAGCTATAACTCTTGAACAGAATATCGTCACCAAATTCGGTACACGTGTATGAGCTCAATCTTTGGTCAAATAAAAAAAACTGCGCAGCTCTGCCACTTGGTGGCGCTATAAGATGGAAAAAACAAAAACAACTATAACTTCGCAACCGTTGGTCCGATCGACTTGAAAATTGGTATGCAGTGTCTTTGTCTGAAGTGGCACAAGTGTCTATGAGGACATTCTCGTAATTTTGAATCGTATCTCAAAAAACATGGCCCCCATTGGCCAAACAAGTTTAAGCACCTATTTGACAAGGTTAACGGAGGTTGATCGGAACGAAACTCGGTGGGCATGTTCAACTCTTGGCCTTAAAGGTCTGTAAGAATTTTGAAAGAAATTGGCCACTAGTTGGCGCTATCGAGTTTTATGGCTCTGTAATCACGTGGTGTTTCACACATCCACACAATATGCATATCATTTGATAGATCTCCTCATAATGAGCAACTTTGTCTCAAGATAAAAGTTATAAATCAAATAATAACGGGCTCTTTTAAAAAAGGGGGCATGACCAAATATACCCAAAAGCCTATAAAACCTAAACAAAAACTCGAAACTTTACGAAAGTTGGTGAAAACGTGTCAGATGACTCTTAACACGCATGCAAAGTTTCATGGAGGTCGGACCATAGGTGGCGCTATAACAGTTAAAAAGGCCTAAAAAAATAAATTATTTCTATAGAAGTGGTTCTAAACCCGCGGCCCGTCACGAATTCAAATGCGGCCCACCATGCTGAACACATTAATTAAAAAATTTACTAAACAAATATAAGCTATAATGTTTTTATGATGTAAAATAATTTAGTTTTTCATATATTATTTTCAGACATGAGCAGACCTGTACTCACGTAATTAACGTTACGCATTTAACGAACACTTACAAGCGCGCACTTTGGCAGAATTCAATTCAAATAGTCATCAGCAGCCATTAGTTCGGTAAAATTGAGCATCAGAATGGACACATTTGTTAAGGGAGAAAAACGAAAAGTGGAAAATGCCAGCGTAGGAACACATACAAACAAGAGTAGTCACAGCATCAGCAGTGAAGGAGAGTGCTGGACTTTCGGTTTGCCCCGCCACTCACTTGAAGATGTTCAGGCTAGAGCCCTGCACGGGCCTCAAATATAGGCCCTAGCCCGGCCGTGTCCGACAGCTTATCGGAATTACCAGCCTGAGTCCGACCCGAGCCCATCTTTTATACCCAAAACAGCTTATACTACTGTTTCAGCGATATTAAAATAGTTCAGTTTTGTATGTAATGGCAAAGTGATTATATTTCATTTCGTTTTTTTAAGTTAATTTAGAAAAATGTTTGGAGCATTTTTTTGGTCGTTAAATATTTTTTTTAACGGCTTTCTGCCGTCTTGTCTTCAATCAGGAGCGCTTACAAAAATTTACCGAAACTCAGCGAATACATGCCACACAGACATGATAAATATATCTATAGAAAGCTTTAAATTACTACTTAACGAAAAAAATCAAAAACAAAAAAATAAAGATGCACTTCTGGGGAAGTCGTGGCCTAATGGTTAGAGAGTCGGACTCGTAACCCAAAGGTTGTGGGTTCGAGTCTCGTACCGGCAGGGATCAAACCCCAACTGCGCCCCGGGCGCCGCAGCATAAATGGCTGCCCACTGCTCCGGGTGTGTGTTCACGGTGTGCGTGTTCACTGCTGTGTGTGTGCACTTTGGATGGGATAAATGCATAGCACTAGTTCCGAGTATGGGTCACCATACTTGGCCACATGTCACTTCACTTGTATAGTGAATATACTATAGAGCACAAATAATATTCAGCACGCCTTTAGAGAGAAGCTCCGCCTGGAGATGGCAAGTCAGGATCGGCAACTTCATCCTTGCGACACACTCAGAAAACACTAGTTTATTAGTAAATAATCTCCTTACTATTTCCCCCTGACACATTCATGGTAATTACTTTTGCCGGTGCTTTGGCCTATTGCGTGCATTTGAACGCAGAACTGTTCAGCTGCGCTGATGGCACGCTCACTGCTGCGAGTCACGGCAGCACGGTCTCGTGTTGTTTCTACCAGCGCAGCAACAAAAAAAAATCATCACTAATTGATTTGTCTAAAATATAAAAATAAGGAGAAGCCTGAAACAAGCCTGATGCCCGGCCCGCGTCTGAACTATGACGTGAAAATTGTCCCGAAGGCCGGCCCTAGGGGCGTAAAAAAAGCTGGGGCCCATCGGGTCCTAATTCAAGCAAAAGGAAACACCCATATGCAGCAATCATCCTTAATTGCAGAAATGTGGCAAAACATCTCTGGAGAGAACCTCAGATTATTACATTCGAAAGTGCTTTCCATATTTGGATCAACATAGGCTATTTGTGAACGCACATTTTCTGCAATGTCGCACGTGCGCGGCTTACAGACTGCAACTTACAATCGCAACTTCATTGTGCTCTTACTCCTTTCGAGCCGAATTTCACAAAATTGGTCAGCTCCCGACAGCATCAGGTGCTTAATTAATGGTGAGTATAATTATTTATTTCAATGAATGTAATCGATTAGATGATATAATATTTAGGCTATAATAGGCCATTATAAATCTGGTTGGTTTGTATTGGTGACATATGTAAATGATATGCGTGCGGCCCGTGAGACTTGCACTTAACTTTACGAAAGTTGGTGAAAACGTGTCAGATGACTCTTAACACGCATGCAAAGTTTCATGGAGGTCGGACCATAGGTGGCGCTATAAC